TCATAACTTTCCATACCATTAACAATAAAATACATAACAGCCTGTATATAGTGCTAAAATATAGTTTGGATTAAACTTGGACTTAACAACTATTGATTGATAAAGCTGATTTTATGTAATACTTGTGTTGTACTCACAAATCAGTTGTTTATGGGTGTGTATAGTGTATTGTTGGTATGTCACCACAGCATAAACTGAAATATAGAATATATTTTTTCTGTCAGTGCATTTGTCTGTCCCTGCATCTATGTAAGTTTGTGAACACTCTGGCAGCCTTCAGTTTGTGTGGAATCTTCATCATCCTTCACACACTTATCAAGTCTCAAATTATCTTGGACTAGTACATTTGTATTAGTTTAGGGTTGTTGGGTCAAGGCCAAGGTTAAGATCACTGTTCCTATTTTTAGAAAAATTACAAATGATTACAGTTTGATAGCTTTTTGGAGCTGATAGTGAACTTCAGAAATACTTAGTATGCATGTTGTTATTAAGAAGTTCACTAAAACAGTAAAGTTGAAATAAAAAATATTTCAATCTGAACTAAAAGAGACATTTGATCGAATATTCATCACCTTGTTGTCATGTTCGATACATGTTTGTCATAAATCAGGGACCACTGGCTTAAATTGGGCCCATTTACAGAAAACTTTCCTGCTAAAATCAGACAGTAGGGAAATATGATGATGTTGAGATTGCTGAACAGCCACAACCAGTAGTTTATTATTTTGCCTTCATGCTTGCTAGCTATTTAACAGATTTTGCTGTAATTACACTGTCTAAAATCACCTTCATTTCTAAAGCATACCTAATTGTGATGTAAACTGCTGTTTACAACATGACAACACTAATCACATTGTTCCTTTGTGGTGCTTTTAAACCATTAAGCATCAAATATTATTCTACTGTAAGAATAAAAATAATTTTTTTCATGGGGCTCAAATTTCATGGTTTTCTGTGGATTTACGGAACCAACACAGGAAACAATGAAAATAAATAACCTACAAAAATGACTGATTCTACAGTATACAAAAATAGAACTTAATTCTATGCTCTATATGTTATTTGTACTGCTTCTATATCTTTCTTCAGAATGAATAATATTTTATCAATTTCAAATTATTGTTTTCATTCCTTCTTCCCGGGAAAAATAGATCTGCATTGTTTTTGAAGGGAAATATATTTATGCCTACTTTCATTCCGCTGATAACACATAGTCAGAGCTTAACTTGACAATTTGCCAACTTTTTGATCAGTTTATTTCAACTGCTGTCAGTTTGGTGTATATATATGAATCAAACTATACATAATTTTGATAATCTACACATATACATTCAGTTTGAATATTTATATTTTATTTTGAAATGTTTCATGTTTATTTGTACAAAAGCATAATGCATTTTGTTACATTATTAGTCTTAAAAAAGTCTGCAATGAAATTAAATTTTTTGTGGTGTTAAAATTTTGTGGTTTTTCCAAAAATATACATAATTGTTGGTGCTTGATTTAGTGCATAAACCTTGCTTACTAAATCCTCTCAAACTGTGATCCATGTTAACTTTTAATAGTTTATCATTTTGTGGACAAATGAATTGATGGATTTTAAGTACCAACAAACTCAACGAAAATAAATCCCTCCTGAAAATTAAAGATTGTTCAGTATTTATCACTGATATTATCACTAAATGAGTTCAGCTAGTTCAAGATTATTAACTGTTAACAAGAACATGATGACCATATTTGGTCCATAGAGCTGAATATACAAACATGTATGTTATAGTTTTGGGACTATATTCCATATATTGTTTGTTTGTGGTGTCTACTTTGTATACTTTACAAAAACTTCTTGTCAAAAATGGATAAATGGATTTTGACAAAATCTAGCATTTATTATGCCTTGGGCAATGTAGTTTAATGACATATGAAATTGTTGCATTCATAAGAGCAGCAAAATATATAGCCGAGAAATGGAAATTTAATTGTAGTTGACAATGACTAGTTGATTGGTGGAAAAAACTTTATATAAATTTAATGGCATGTGCAGACCTTCACAAAGGCAGGAGAAAAAGACTATATATGTACAGGGTTGAAAAGCTGCTTCTTCAGAAATGATTAATATATATATAGCATGGAATAAGGAAACAACAAGTGAATTTATTATAAAGAAATTGTATAGCTCTCTTTGGGATTGAGGAACAGAGTCCAAAATAGGACACACAATCCTATCCTTCAAGTATTATCAATATTTTCAAATGATCATTTTAACTCTGGACACTGGTATTTGTTTGCTTGTTTTATCAACAATGATCAGCTAGAGTAATTTTAAGGTGGAGTCTTCATATAGAAGCTGGCGACAACTTCATGAACAACATATGGGAGGACCATTACTTGCCATCCAGTGCAACTAAAGTGAGGTGTCTTGCCCAATGACACATTTAAACCATGACAGTCCTGTAGTGTGTGATATCAGATTCCTGAAATCAAACAACACACTTCAGATCTTTGCCTGAAATTGTAAATTAAAACCTTGTGCATAATTGAGAGTGCTATCCTCAAGGTTTTCTCAACTATGAGATTACCAGTGATTAGGTGTGAAAAAAGGATAAAAGGAGATTTTCTTGAAAATCTACTTTGACGTAATTTGACTTGAAATAATTCCTGTATGTAAATCATTGTTTTTTAAAGATATTTTTTAAATATTGAAAATGCAGGCCTTCTGGGCCTCTTGCTTATATTGGTTGAAATCACGACTTAAGTGGATATAGGTGAGTGATACAGGCCAGATGTACATTTGTTTGGTTTAGTGCTAAAAATAATTATCAATTACAGAAAATGTTGATATGGATACATTTGTAACACATTCATAGGATTTTATGTGCAAGGTTGCTGAAAAAATCAAGTCTGACTTGCATCGTTGAGGTATATTTGATTAAGCTAACAATACTTGGTTAAAGGTCAGCCACTGTGAAACAGCTCAGCCTTCATAGCAGTGGGAGATTTTAGTTACATGTGATTTCAGCCCTAAACACTGTTTCTGGTGTCTGGTGAAAAACTGATAAGCCTTATGGAATATAGAATTAAGTTTTACATAGTTTTAAGAAATCAGAAATTCTAAATGGGGATTCTTTACAGGGTTGACAGTTGATGTACAGGATATATACTTACCACCTAGAATGCATTTCATTTCTATCTTTAAACAAGGTGATTTCCTGCTTATAAAGAAACAATGTTAGTTAGAACATACAGCAATCAGTTATCTGCAGATTAATCAACCAATTTCTGACTCCTGATATCATTATATGTCCTAAACTAACTTTCCCTGAAAAGTCAACCATCTGTTAAAAATCCACAAAAATAAGTTTCTTCAGATATATCAAACCTGTGTATAAAGGTCAACTTAAAGTCACCATCTATTCATAGGTGCAAAAAATACATTTTCAGTGGCATTTACACATTTAAGGTCAGTCAAATCTGAAAAGTTACTAGAAACATTTCCATTTTACCTGTGTATGATGACCGCCCACTTTGTAAAGATCAAAGGGAGCTTGTTATTATTTTTTTGGCACTTTACCTATATATAGATCTCCACCATTGGAATGTTTTTTGGGTGTTTTATCTGTGTATAAAGACCACTACCTTAGAAAGACAAACAGAAATAGGTTTTTGGTGTTATACCTGTGTATAAAGGCCATCCTCATTTAAAAGATCAATTTTCTTTTAACATTTTATCTGCGTATATAGACCTCCCAATTTTACACTATTGTATATTCATTTGACATTTTACCTGGGTATAAAGGACAGTCACTTTTGAAAGACCATTGGAAACTGAAGTAGAAATTTGGCATTATTTCCTTGTGTACAATTTTCATTGAGCTGTTTAAACGATTATTTGCTTGTGCTAATGTCAGTTCCTGATGAAATTATTAGATAATAGCATATTTCAAATTGCATTTTACCCCTTTATAAAGACCACCTGGCTCTTATAGTCTTATCATAGGCATTTTTTTTGGATTTTCTAATTCTGCTGATACATAGCCAAACTCTATTAATAGAACAGTGTAGCGTTAATGTTACCACCAGTTTATATGAAGCTTGGAATTTAAAGGAACATGCTGTGCTATAATTTCAGGGGCATGTGTGTTTTGGTTACAAGGTGAGCTTAGAGATTTGGGTTTTTTTATTTGGTGAACAGGTATTATTCAATTACTTTTGGATTTGAATTCTCGTAAAAATAATCTAGATGTGGCGAAACTATTTAGATGTATTGTGAATAACTTTGCTTAGAGAAAAAATGTTACAAAAAAAAAAATATTTGGGTTCTAATAGATGAATATTTTAATCAATATCTATGTATCTGTATACTGTTCTCACTATTAATTACCACAGGGTCAATGTTTTCAGCCATAAAGATCCTGACTGATAAAATCTGTTACCTGATTCTTAAATTTCAATATTGATTAAAATATTGTAGGGAAGATGTTTTGTTATAGAATCCTATTTCAGATGAAGCCGAGAAGATGATGTGTCACAGAATGACAGCCAGAGACGGAAATAAATCAATTTCAAACATAACCGTATAACAGATTTTTTTTACTCCTATATAATGGTGTAAATATTTACGTCCATTTTTTTTAAAACCGAATTATCTCCCTTGTTGCATCTGAATAAAACAACATGATATGACAACATTTTGATATTTTTTTCTGCAAAATATTTGGTATAGGTCATCAGACAATAAAGATGAGTCTGGGTAACGTGTGATTTCCATTTAACGTCTTTCAGTGTTTCCGAGTCGTGAGATACCCTTGGATATTAAGATTGGTTTAATGGAGTGTAGAGAGTATCAAATTGCTGTAATTTAAGTGAGAGAGTTTTAAAAAATAATGCTATACTAATGGTCTCTCTATTAATAATGACCATTTAACTGGGGTCAACGAGAGGTCATAATGGTCGCTTATCATACTCTTTTATATTCATGATATTCGCTGTCATTGGTATTTCAGATTTCATTAGCTGACCACTGTGTGTCAGAGAAGGGTCGCAGGGGCAAGATGTATGGCATGTTACTGGAGAGTGTCCAGCATTACATAAAAACTGACCATGGAGAACACATGTGGCGGTCAGTACTGGAACACATTGGCCTCAAGAACACTGTCTTTACCACGCACGTCATCTACCCAGACCATGTCATGATTGATCTGTCAAAAGCTTGTAGCACACTGATTGGGGACCGTACACCTGAAGAATACCTTGAGTATTTTGGACAGTGTTTCGTCAAATTTTTCAGTCATTATGGTTATGACAAAATTGTTCGAATATCAGGACGGCATTATCGTGACTTTTTAAAAGAGATTGACAATTTGCATGAAAATATGCGGTTCAGCTTTCCTCGCATGCATAGTCCATCATTCAATGTGAGTGAAGAGGATGGTAACGGTTGTGTCCTTGTTTATCGTTCGAGACGCCAGGGATTTACGCCCTACGTCATTGGCCAATTGTGTGAATGTGCTACTCAGTTTTACGGAATTAATGTAACTGTTAGTAAAATCACACAGTGCTCAATAGATGTTGGCTATCACACAAAGTTTCGTCTAAATTTCACAAACAGTGCCTTTAGGGAGAAAGCTGGAGCCTCATCCCCGCTCTATCCCTCTGAGTTCCCTGCCTTGTCTGCCAACACTATATTTAAGGTAAAGTCACTGTACTTTATTCTTTTTTCTTTACATCATTATCTTGAAATTGATTCACACATCAATCAATGTATTTGATATGAAAGTGGACCAAAACTATCAGCAATGATTTAGCAATGACAACCTTGAGGTATAACATGATTATTATTACTGCATACTCTAATGTACGTGTATCTTTAGCAAGGATTATAAAATGATTATTGTCAGTCGCTGCATACTCTAATGTAGGTGTATCTCTAGCAAGAATTATAAAATGATTATTGTCAGTCACTGCATACTCTAATGTACATGTATCTCTAGCAAGGATTTCAAAATCATAATTCTGAATTCCTGGAGTCCATATTTTACAAGAGAAATATGAATTTCTTAATATCTATTTTTGCACCAAAAAACCTACATAGGGATAACTGAGGTCCCTAAACCTTTTTACTTTAATTAACTAGAACTAGAACTAACTAGAAATTGATTTTAAGGCACTACTAGACTGTACTTCATGTTTTTCTACAACATTTAAAGAAATTGTTTTGAAATGTTTATCCCTAAAATGGCTTGTATTCCATTAAAACCATTGACTTAGTGTACTTGTAAGCTAAATTACTTCTATTTGTCACAAAAGTTTTGATTTTTTCAAGTCCTGTACTTGGAAAAGGTTGTGGAATTCACTGTCATAAAGATGTATGCATTTCAACATCAGACATATTTGTCTGTTTGTTTACATTTCTCCAATAAACTAATACAAAATTGAAATTTGGCAGTTGGCCAGCACTATTACAATAAGTTAAAAATCTTCAGTTTGTCACACTGTCTACGATACAATTTGAATACTAGCATTGTTAGTTTTACTGTGTGTGTTCTGTAATAAGTCTAGAAAGGTAACTCATAAACTCTGACCGAAAGTATTGTTAACATAACCTCTGACTAAAAGTAAGGTTAACATAACCTCTAACCAAAAGTAAGGTTAACATAACCTCTGACTAAAAGTAAGGTTAACATAACCTCTAACCAAAAGTAAGGTTAACATAACCTCTGACTAAAAGTAAGGTTAACATAACCTCTAACCAAAAGTAAGGTTAACATAACCGCTGAAAAAGTAAGGTTAACATAACCTCTGACTAAAAGTAAGGTTAACATAACCTCTGTACAACATAAAAGTAAGGTTAACATAACCTTATTAAAAGTAAGGTTAACTTAACTTGTACTAAAAGTAAGGTTAACATAACCTGTACCTAAAAGTAAGGTTAACATAACTTGTACCTAAAAGTAAGGTTAACATAACCACTTATTAAAAGTAAGGTTAACATAACTTGTACCTAAAAGTAAGGTTAACATAACTCTGTAAAAGTAAGGTAAACATAACCTAAAAGTAAGGTTAACATAACCTTGACTAAAAGTAAGGTTAACATAACCTCTAACCAAAAGTAAGGTTAACATAACCGCTGACTAAAAGTAAGGTTAACATAACCTCTAACCAAAAGTAAGGTTAACATAACCTCTAACCAAAAGTAAGGTTAACATAACCTCTGACTAAAAGTAAGGTTAACATAACCTCTGACTAAAAGTAAGGTTAACATAACCTCTGACTAAAAGTAAGGTTAACATAACCTCTAACTAAAAGTAAGGTCAACATAACTTGTACCTAAAAGTAAGGTTAACATAACCACTTATTAAAAGTAAGGTTAACTTAACTTGTACCTAAAAGTAAGGTTAACATAACTTGTACCTAAAAGTAAGGTTAACATAACTTGTACCTAAAAGTAAGGTTAACATAACCTTTACCTAAAAGTAAGGTTAACATAACCTCTAACTAAAAGTAAGGTTAACATAACCTGTACCTAAAAGTAAGGTTAACATAACCTCTGACTAAAAGTAAGGTAAACATAACCTCTAACCAAAAGTAAGGTTAACATAACCTCTGACTAAAAGTAAGGTTAACATAACCTCTGACTAAAAGTAAGGTTAACATAACCTCTAACTAAAAGTAAGGTCAACATAACTTGTACCTAAAAGTAAGGTTAACATAACCTCTAACTAAAAGTAAGGTCAACATAACTTGTACCTAAAAGTAAGGTTAACATAACCACTTATTAAAAGTAAGGTTAACTTAACTTGTACCTAAAAGTAAGGTTAACATAACTTGTACCTAAAAGTAAGGTTAACATAACTTGTACCTAAAAGTAAGGTTAACATAACCTCTACCTAAAAGTAAGGTTAACATAACCTCTAACTAAAAGTAAGGTTAACATAACCTGTACCTAAAAGTAAGGTTAACATAACCGCTGATTAAAATAAGGTCAACTTAACCTGTACCTAAAAGTAAGGTTAACATAACTTGTACCTAAAAGTAAGGTTAACATAACCTCTGACTAAAAGTAAGGTAAACATAACCTCTAACCAAAAGTAAGGTTAACATAACCTCTGACTAAAAGTAAGGTTAACATAACCTCTGACTAAAAGTAAGGTTAACATAACCTCTGACTAAAAGTAAGGTTAACATAACCTCTAACTAAAAGTAAGGTCAACATAACTTGTACCTAAAAGTAAGGTTAACATAACCACTTATTAAAAGTAAGGTTAACTTAACTTGTACCTAAAAGTAAGGTTAACATAACTTGTACCTAAAAGTAAGGTTAACATAATTTGTACCTAAAAGTAAGGTTAACATAACCTCTACGTAAAAGTAAGGTTAACATAACCGCTGATTAAAATAAGGTCAACTTAACCTGTACCTAAAAGTAAGATTAACATAACTTGTACCTAAAAGTAAGGTTAACATAACCTCTACCTAAAAGTAAGGTAAACATAACCTCTAACTAAAAGTAATGTTAACTTAACCTCTACCTAAAAGTAAGGTTAACATAACCTCTAACTAAAAGTAATGTTAACTTAACCTCTAACTTAAAGTAAGGTTAACATAACCTCTAACTAAAAGTAAGGTTAACATAACCTCTAACTAAAAGTAAGGTCAACATAACATAACCTCTAACTAAAAGTAAGGTTAACATAACCTCTAAAAAGTAAGGTTAACATAACCTCTAACTAAAAGTAAGGTTAACATAACCTCTAACTAAAAGTAATAACCTTAACTTAACCTCATAACTTAAAGTAAGGTTAACATAACCTCTAACTAAAAGTAAGGTTAACATAACCTCTAACTAAAAGTAAGGTCAACATAACTTGTACCTAAAAGTAAGGTTAACATAACCTCTGACTAAAAGTAAGGTTAACATAACCTCTGAATAAAAGTAAGGTGAACTGACCCTGACTAAATGTGAGGTTAACCTAACCTCTGACTTAAAGTAAGATTAACTAACCTCTGACTAAAAGGAAGGTTAACATAATCTTTGACTTAACATTCGGTAAACATAGCCTCTGAATAAAAGTAAGGTGAACTGACCCTGACTAAACGTGAGGTTAACCTTACCTCTGACTTAAAGTAAGGTTGACATAACCTCTGACTAAAAGTAAGATTAACACATAACCTTTGACTAAAAGGAAGGTTAACATAACTTTTGACTTAACATTCGGTAAACATAACCTCTGAATGAAAGTTAGGGAATGGGCTTATTAAAGGACATTGAAAAAATATTTGTTGGTTATGAGACATGGCAATATGACATGATAGGAATACTGGATAATTGGTACTAAATGCCATATTTTGAATATAGGGAAGCCATGTTGGATGGTAAATATTAAAATACTTTTAGTTATGATAAATACAAACTTAAGTATAAATGTATCCCACTTTATCATTATTATTATATTTTTCAGATTTATATTTCTGCTCATCAGCAGTAGATGTTGATGGGCTTATTAACCTATAGAGATATATCTGATATAACTCTATGCAGTATATTTCTTAATTCCAATCTGTTTTGATGAAAGAGCCATTAACACTGTGCATTGATGTAAGAACTTCTGTTTCAGTTATTTCCATTTTGTATAGTATTTGATGAGAATCTTGTGATAAGACACACGGGAAACAATTTACCGATGTTGTTGGAGTCGGACAGTTTGATTGGCTCAGAGTTACCAACCAGATTCCTGATACGAAGACCATTGATAGACTGCACTTGGAGCAATGTAATTAGACAACTTTGATTTCTGTGCTAATTTTGTGTTCATGTATGAAAGTCATTCATTTTATCAAAGTACATTTCCTTAACAGATCTTTATGACAAGTTGCTATTATTCAACTATTCCAGAAGATATGATTCTAGAAAATAATTTTAAAAATATCCAGTTTGATTTTTATAAAACATATTGTAGTTTTGATCAGGTTTATGCAGCAGGTTTCTCGTATTGGTTTACAAATGCTATGTGATTATAAGCTTTACACTGCATTCATATTGTCTATGAATGCCATTAGGGATACAGTACTTATGATATTGTATTTACCATTTTGCAATGGACAGTTGTGATTTATTTCTGTATAATAACAAAAACTCTGCTAAATACCTAATAAAAGACAATTTAAAATTGAAACAGATATATTTATATATTCTATGTGAAGAAGACAACTTCCATCAAAATTGCAAAGAGAGATGATGACGATAAGAATTAATGACTTGCTTGTGAATATCAATATCTGATCTTGCTGTGAGACAATTTCCTTGGCACAGCGATGTTTACTCTACACAAATTTCTCCAATATAAGTGATAAACGAAATGATGCTAGTTTTCTTTATTGATTTTCTTGACACATTTGGGGACTAATTTTTGTTGGCAGGTGATAAAAATGATTTCGGTGTCTGGTTTCATTGTCTTGAAGCACTTTATTGAAGTGGATCGCGATACTTTTCGTCTCAGATTTATCAGATATAATGCCTTGTTACAGTCTCTCAGGAGCTATGGTCTTGATCAAGTATCACCTAAGTGAAAATATCCACACACATCTTTTAAACACATGAGAAAACAAATTTTGTGATTTGAAAGATGGTTGACAGTTTGGTAAATATCCGCATTTTGCCTTTATCTTTGATTAACCCATTTAAGTCTGGAAGGACTTTGTATAACCCATCACAGTCTCGGATATTTCTATGCTGTTCCCTTAAATCCTTAGAAACTACATAGAATACGAGGGTAATTTATCTTAAATTGTAAATATCTCTTCCATAAAACATCTACATTAGCTAACATTTTTGTGAAATGATATCATTTCTTGGACTAAATTCATCTGTCTTTATTTTGTCTTAAAATTGTATCTTCTCTCAATTGTCTTAAAATGCTTTAATCTCTATATTTATCAGACTTTGTCTTAAGATTCTTTCATCTCATAATTTATCAAATTTCATCCTAAAATGCTTTCATCTCTGAATTCACAGGCTTTGTCATAAAATGTTGTCATTTCAAAATTCATCAGTTTTGTCTTTAAATGCTTCTATATCTAAATTGATAAGACTTTGTAGTATGATAAGATATGAAGATACTTGACCATGTCGTTTTTCCTGGATACTCTGAGTCTCTCCCACAGTAAGACCCCTCGTGCACTTCCATTGTTGGCAACAAAGGGATTGATATATATATGGGTTGAAATAATTTGTTTTAAAAATTGTCATAAAATAAATGTAAAGTTTTTATTTTTTTGATCTATCAGACTTCATCTTAAAATGCTTACTTTCATTGAATTGATTAGACATAGCTAGGTAATATCAGATATAAAATGGTTTCTGTGACAGATAAAGAGGTTGCAGCGAGTGATGTTTGAAGTCCAGTATCGGAGCCCTGTTCATCGACTGTCCATTGTCAGTTTGGGGTCAGGGGTAAGACCACAAGCAAGTAAAGTGCTGTTACGAGGACAAGTGAAGTTCATGGAGGACTGGAATATGATGGTTTTCTTGTGTACCCCCCTGTAAGTGTTTTGTGGGGGTGTGGGGGGGATATCTCGGGGTCTCTAATCTCAATATGATTTTACATCCCTGCCATTTTATGGGGGGATGAGAATATCTCAACAGATTTGGTTCATATTTACCCTGTAGTATCAAAATATTAAATGCTATATCTCCTCTTATTAAAGTGGTCATAGGTCAATGTTAAAGGGTTATAGGTCAATGTTAAAGGGTTATAGGTCAATGTTAAAGGGTTATAGGTCAGATTTGAACATTTCTGCAAATTTTTCAAACCATGCAATTACTATCAATGGTGACATCTATTAATCACATTGAATTCTATCTTATCTAATTGTGTAGTGTTACATTTATGGTAAATGGTATTGAACAGGTTTTGTGAGATAATACGTTAATACATGTAAATTGACATTCATTGGCTGTTTAAACTCCATGAATGTTCTAAAAAAAATTGATTGAGGTAACGATATACATGAAGCAGGATATTTTTCATTTTATCTATAGGACTTTGCTGTTTCATCTGTCTTGTCATTTACAAAATCTATTTAGAGTAAGTAAGACAACTTAACTACATGTCTAGTATTACAGTGCATTTGTAATAGATAGTTGTCAGTGAAATTAAAACTTCTTTAAAAATTCTCTTTGTCCTGTAAATAAATCACCAATTTTGACAGTAACACCAGTGATCTGCTCACTGTGTTATATACATTCATATCAACCAAAATGAAAGCAGTGTACAACAATGTTACTGCATACAAGTCCTTAACAATCGTCTTCCTGATTCAAAATTATGTAAATTATCATATAAATACAGACAATTATCATTTGTGAGCTTAAGCCTTTGAGACTCTTTTTTTAAAAGATAAAAATTATCCCATGCAGTGTAACATACATACACTAAATATCACAACACCTTGCATAGTTACCTGGTAGTGTATAAGATTTCTAAAGGTTTGAGGATCAAATATTTTAATAGGATATAGTTGACATGTTGAAAAGGAAATTTAAGATCTTTGTGACTTAATCAAAGTACTTTACCATGTATGCAATAGATACATAAATTGCTGATTAAAAAAGGAAAGATTATTTGAAACTTGATCTTCTGTTTAGGAGATAAAAAAACAAAATGAGACAATCTACTTTAATGGGTTCATAACCATACCTAAAAGTCAAGTCTTCATACGGTCTCTGTAATTTCAGTTAACTGCTTTATTTTCCATTGGAATATCAAGGTCACTTTCACTCTGCTGTTTTTTGGGTGTGGGTTTGGGGATGAGAGGGGTGGGGATGGGGGTATTAATCACATCTCCATGATGTCTTAACAGATTTGGTCCATATTTACCCAATAATATCATAACAGTAAAAGATATTTATGTCTTATAGACATGTTCTAGTTTCAGTTTTCTTTAAGGACGCATTCTTCATGTGTTCCCCTCTGTTTACTGACATACTTCTTTATAACGCTTAAGTGTAGATTAGAGATTGCTGGTAGTATAACTGTATGACTGTATTGTGTGGCAGGGTCAGTGGTTTGACAGACCTGGAAAAGATGGGATTGTACATCAGCGATCTTAACATGTACGACAATAGTCGACAGATGGTGATGACTGGTTGGCAGCACTCCTCGGTACTCGAATATTCTATAGAACAGGTGAGTCAAGGTCACTTTAAGGTCAAGGTCAAATCATGTCAAAATAAATTTCCCATTGATTCTTTGGATCATTTGAAAAATTCACAGTTCAAGGTCATTTTCATGTAATGAAAAGTTTCAGGGTCATTGTCATTGGTCAGTTAGGACTTGGTGGGGCACATTTATTAGAGCCCCTACCTATATATAGAATCTAATTTTCATTATCAGACATACAGATGTAGTGCCAGGTAAGCATAGGATACAACCAAATAGACACAGTGTATCTGCATCTGTTAAAGTCACCATTGTTAATGTGGATGATTTAAAGCCATATTAATAAATAGATCATCTTTGTATAAAATGTCAGAATTATCAAGCATCAAGTACTTTAGTAAGTATTTTATATAATGTATGAAAATGCCCAAATGATTAAATTCAGAATTTAAGATGTTCATTTTAGTAAAAACATCACATTTCTGCAACAAGGTTGGGGAAGGATTTACTTGAATCAGTTTGTTTGTCTGTCCGTCTATCCATCAATCTGTAGATGCAACAATGGAACGGCTAGTTCTCCTAAACTGTTGAATTTATTTCTATAATACTTTAAGGCTATAATTCTTAAACATTGCTAATGTGTGTAATCTATATCAGGTTGAGTTATCTCCCCTTTCCAGAAACTTGTGTGTCTTTGGGAAATCGATGATGTACTAGCTACTCCTATACTTCTGAATGGATTATAATAAAATTTGATGGCAATAACCCTTATACATCGTAGATGTGCATATATATCAGGTTTAGTTACTTCCCCTTTTCACAAAGTTATGCCTTTATAGGGGCATGAGGTGGCCTCTAGACAACAGTGTCAAGTTAAGTATGAAATTTAATAAGCAGCAGTTATTTTACAACATACAGTCAAACCTCGTTAACTCGAAGTCGATGGGACCACGAAAATACTTCGAGTTATCCGAGTCTTCGAGATAGCAGAGTTCATGAGTTTTGGTGCAAAGATTTTTAATGTTCCTGACGTTCCTTGTACTTTTTGTCACTTTTTGGCTATATACGAGCTTGATGTAGATTCCGGTAATAAGTGTTGTGATTGTTTTCTATAGCTTAGTTCCGCTTCACTGAGTGTATACACAGGTCGGTGTTTGTTATGGCTGACAGACACGGAAATTACGCAATGTGAGTAGAACTTCACTTTTTATCGCCGATATCTATCAATTATAAGATCTAACGGTTACCTTTTATCATTCAATTAAATAACAATAAACACTTTTCTAAAACATGAATATTGTTAATTACAGTATTGTTCATTAATATTCACTTGTAAAGCCTATTGTCGGTAAAATTGCAAAACGGTGTAGCGCATCAGCAATGTAATTGACCGGCACAAAATTTATACTTCGAGTTTTCCGATCATATTCAGTATATGTTTTGTTGTTGGGACCAAATTTTTACTTCGAATTAACAGAGTTTTTCGAGTTTTCCGAATTCGAGTTTTCCGAGTTTTGATTACTAGAATAAAGAGAAGATTTTGCCGGGACCGACAAAGTGCTTCGAGTTAAACAGGGTCTTCGAGTTTTCCGAGTTCGAGTTAACGAAGTTCGACTGTATCTAAAAAAGAAGAAAATGCTCTCAAGTTTATGGATACAGATGCTTTTGCAAGAAATGATATCACCACAAACTAGCTGAAACTTCAACAGCCTCGAAATATCATACCTGCAAAATCAAAACACATACGATATAAATCTAAAAAATATTTGTTTGTAACAACTACAGCAGGTGAAGCAGAGTGAGAAGATTTCAGCAACGATGCGAGAGCTGGATGACTGGCAACAGAATAGCAACATGCTCCTGTACAATATGATACCAGAGACAATTGCCAAAGACCTCAAAAACGGCGTTGACCCCATCAAAACCTGTCAGGTAAAGTAGTCAAATTTCATGTACTTAATTTGATGGATTTATTGTTAACTATGAAAATGATATATATGCATTTATTGATAATAAGTTTCCACAAAATTAGCAATACTGAAAATCCTGGAAAAAAAATTAAAAATTTTACAGTCTATGCTGAAAATGATTAATTTTATGAGGAATTAATTTTCATTTTACCATCGATTGTGAACAGATTATTTTGAGGTTTTCAGATTGATATTTTTCTTTACTGTGAATTTCATGAACAGAATATATACTTTACTATTGAAATGACACTGGTTCGGGTTTTAAAGTCCTTCCTCTGTTGGAATAATTTTCCATCAGTTTAAATAAGTTATTTTCAGGAAACTAACCCAGGTGACCAATACAGGCCCTTTGAGTCTCTTGTTATCCAAATGGCATGAAACCTCATTAATTTAATCTGCATACAAAGAAGTTATGCACCTGTAATTATCTTTGAGATTGGACAAGACTACCTGAAGCCTATATCTAAATTTGATGAAACAACACGAATATAGTCTGCACAGACTGATATTGTACACATGTTCTTGTTTTTTTTTTTTTTTTGATTCACTTAGTTTCATGGGAGTTACGTCCCTTGTACTATGTAGACAGAATCTTGATGGAACAGCTCTTTGTACTATGTTTATTCAATGCTTTATTAAATTTTGTTCAGTGAAATCGTCCACTGAACATTCAAAGACATTATACCAAAATATCTGAGAGGGTGAGGGAGTTGAGTTAGTTGGTTAGTATTGGTGTTGGAGCAGAAGGAATACAAAGTATGTCAGTCGTCCTAGTGACAGTTTTATAAATCTTTGTTATTTTGCAAACTTCTCCATATGTATAGAGAACGGAACTTATTAGGGCCTGGCAAGAAAGTGCGGGTGTCCTTTAATAATCAAGGTGTTTATCCATCTGTTTATCTGTCCTCCAGCACTTTTTTTCTTGTGCGATAACTTGAGTTCCCTTGGAATGATTAAGCTCATACAATGCTTTTTTATAAAAAGTGCTTGGTTTGGAGTGCTTTTCAGTTTCAAAGGTCAAAGGTCGAGGTCACTGTTAATGTAGATAGAAAATCAGTTTCTGTGTGAAAACAAGAGTTTGCAATGGCAAATCTAACCTAAACTTCATACTGAAGGTCAAATGTCAAGGTCACTGCTACTCTAAATAGTAAAAATCATTTTCCCTGTAATAACTCAAATTTGCTTTGGCCAATCAAACTCAATCCTCGTTCACTGCTTCCAGGCTGCTTTTCAGCTTCGAAGATCAAAAGTCAAGGTCACTGTGACGCTAAGTTGAAAAATCAGTTTCCCTGCGATGACTCAAACCTCATACAATGCTTCCTTACTAAAATGGTTTGCTTTGGATTGTTTTTCAGGTCCCAGGGTCAATGGTCCAGATTACTGTTACTTGAAGTAGAAAATTGGTTTCCGTGATATAACCTGGGTTCCTTTGGGCCGATCATACTCAAATTTCATACAATACTTTCTTACCAAAAGTGTTTACTTTGGGTATTTTGCTTTTTATATCCCGTGTTCTCAGGTCAAGGTCACTGTTACTATAAATAAAAAAAGTCAGATTGGTAAATGTATTTGTTATTATGTTGTGTTTTTGTAATAGTCTTTCTTGACTTTTGTGGCAGAGTGTACTTTAGGTCTTGCCATAAATCCGACGGTCTGGAGTGTGTGTCTAAGGGTGGGTTGGTGGGGTGGGATGGGAGAGGGGAGGTGATTTCCAGCTACATAGCAGGGCCCCTTGTTGACCTGTCAGTATTGTAGTTTCAATGATTATAATGTGTCTCATAGGTCGTCATTGACTGGATGATGATATAGTTTTTTGTTTTCTTTGTATGTCTCCAACACCTGCTTTAAATATGTTTATTAACATGGGAAACTTTAATAAAATGACTGATGGATTGATATTTTACAGGTGTTTGAGGATGTGACGATTCTATTCAGTTACCTGGTAGATTTCGATTTGATCTGTACCCGAGGAACACCTTTACAGATTGTTCAATGCATCAACAATATCTTCATCGTGTTTGACAATATCGTCGACAAACATGGCTGCTTCAAGGTAAAGGTCATGCTACAGGGTTACATCACCTTTCAGTTCAGGAGAGGTTTTGGTCTGTGTTTTGAGCAGTCAAAGGTCTATCTGACTATAGATCATGGATGTCAGTTTTCCAGTAAAAAAGATATCTATATATTTATGGTACATGTGTTATCAAAAAATGATTTCAAATGAGAATGCTAATGCTTGAATCAATTTATTTTCATATTTCATTGTGAATTTCTTAAAAAAGAAACATTCAAATAAAATAACTGAATTAATGATAAGTTGAAGATGAGGTATTAAAAGAGAAGATTTATTTATATATCTTTTTCTGATTTTGATTTTTGCTCAACATCAAAACCTTTGAGATAACATGTATCTAATAGTACTATGTTCTGTGTTGAGGTTGAGACGCTGGGCGATGCTGTGTACATGGTGGCCGGTGGTGTTCCTGACAGACATCCCAATCATGCCCACCAGGTGGCAGGTCTTGCTTTAGATTTACTCAGGCTATCAAAAGAACTCAAAGACCCAACCACAGGAAAAAATCTCCAGTTTCGGTTAGGCATACATTCAGGTGGAGTAGTGGGTGGGGTCATAGGTCGCCGGATGCCTCAGTATTGCCTCTTCGGGGACACAGTGAACACAGCCTCACGTATGCAGTCCCATGGCGAGGTGAGGAAATCACTAGTTAAAATGGCTTCTTTCATCTAATAAAGGTGAAATTTGAACTATTTTTTTTTGTGGAGCAGTTTTTGTGTCGCCTACGCTGGCAGACACTTGAGGATCACTTTGTCTGTCGTCACACATCGTCGTAAGTACGAAAGTTTTCCTGACTTTTTTCGGTGATGCTTTGAGTTATCAAATTGAAATTTGGCATGTGGCTTTTTGTTGCAAGGGTACAAATTAAGTATGATTCCCGGCTGTCTGTGACCCTTTTTGGCAGAGTTATGCCCCTTTCAACTTAGAAAATTTCCTGGGAATATTGTTTTCCAGACTTTTTTGGCTGATGTTTTGAGTTATCAAAATGAAAGTTGGTATATGGCTTCTTGTTGCAAGGGTACAGATTATGATCGATTCCCGGCTGTCTGTGGCCCTTTTTGGCAGAGTAATGCCCCTTTGAACTCAAAAACTTCTTTGGGAATATTGTTTTCCAGATATTTCCCAATTATGCTTTGAGTTAACATAATGAAATGTTGTATATGGCTTCTTGATGGAAGATTACAAATTGAGTTCAATTCTCAGCTCTCTGTGACTCTTCCTGACCCATTGAACTCAAATTCTTTGGGAATATTGTTTTTCGGAATTTTCTTGGTTATACTTCGAGTTATGAAAATGCAATTTTGTATATGAGTTCTTGGTCAAAAGTTACGCACCGAGTTTGCTTCTTGGCAGTCTGTAACCCTTCTTGGCAGTGATATGTGCCTTTGAACTTGAAAAATTTCTCAGGAATATTGCTTTGTACAGTTTTCCCTTTATGCTTCAAGTTATAGAAATGAAATTTGGTATTACAATTTTATGGATGATCGTTCCAAATCCAATTCAATTTCTGGGTGACCGTGATACTTTATGCAGCAGACACATACAGTTCCGAGGAACTCTTGTCTGGCAGTTTTGGTTGTTTTCTTCCCCATGAAAACTAGTAAGATTTTAGTTAAAAAGGTATATGTAAAGGATTTCTTAGCGGAGATGAGGGACATTTCTATTAAAAGATATCATTTATTGTTTTGCAGCCTGGTAAAATACATCTAAGTGAACAGTGTAACCAGCATTTAGAAGGGAGCAAATTCATCACCATCTCCAGGGGTACTATTTATGTCAAGGTGAGTTTTCTGTGTTACACCTAACACTGTTTCTAGGGATACTGTTTATGTCAAGGTGAGTTTTCTGTGTTACACCTAACACTGTTTCCAGGGATACTGTTTATGTCAGGGTGAGTTTTCTATAGTACTCTTAACACTTTCTCCAGGGATACTGTTTATGTAAGGGTGAGTTTTCTGTGTTACACCTAACACTGTCTCCAGGGATACTGTTTATGTCAAGGTGAGTTTTCTGTGTTACACCTAACACTGTCTCCAGGGATACTGTTTATGTCAAGGTGAGTTTTCTGTGTTACACCTAACACTGTTTCCAGGGATACTGTTTATGTCAGGGTGAGTTTTCTATAGTACTCTTAACACTTTCTCCAGGGATACTGTTTATGTAAGGGTGAGTTTTCTGTGTTACACCTAACACTGTTTCCAGGGATACTGTTTATGTCAGGGTGAGTTTTCTATAGTACTCTTAACACTGTCTCCAGGGATACTGTTTATGTCAAGGTGAGTTTTCTGTGTTACACCTAACACTGTTTCCAGGGATACTGTTTATGTCAGGGTGAGTTTTCTATAGTACTCTTAACACTTTCTCCAGGGATACTGTTTATGTAAGGGTGAGTTTTCTATAGTACTCTTAACACTGTCTCCAGGGATACTGTTTATGTCAAGGTTAGTTTTCTGTGTTACACCTAACACTGTCTCCAGGGATACTGTTTATGTCAAGGTTAGTTTTCTGTGTTACACCTAACACTGTTTCCAGGGATACTGTTTATGTCAAGATGAGTTTTCTGTGTTACACCTAACACTGTTTCCAGGGATACTGTTTATGTCAAGGTGAGTTTTCTGTGTTACACCTAACACTGTCTCCAGGGATACTGTTTATGTCAAGGTGAGTTTTCTGTGTTACACCTAACACTGTCTCCAGGGATACTGTTTATGTCAAGGTTAGTTTTCTGTGTTACACCTAACACTGTCTCCAGGGATACTGTTTATGTCAAGGTTAGTTTTCTGTGTTACACCTAACACTGTTTCCAGGGATACTGTTTATGTCAAGATGAGTTTTCTGTGTTACACCTAACACTGTTTCCAGGGATACTGTTTATGTCAAGGTGAGTTTTCTATAGTACTCTTTTTGTTTGATTTTGTCATTTAATGTAAATGAAAATTTTGATCTTGGGGTGCTGCAGTTGCCAAAAGTTCTTCATAGTCACAGGATGTGTAAAAAAAACATTTCTAGTTGTTCATAGATTCTGCATATTATTAATGGTATCAGAATTGCCACGAAAAATTAAATTAAATCATTGCTCTGTAAGGTTCTTTAATTCATGATAAAATGGTGAAAATTGATACAAGTGACCACAAAGTAAGACTTAAAATAAAGACATTCAAGCATTTAAAATCATCAAAATAAACAAGCATTTCTAAGAATTGATCATGGTTGCATAATGACAAAAACATTTCACTTGTTGCCAAAATGTGTGTTAAAGAGATAAGATAATCCAAATCCAAAAATATTGCTTTCGTAATTTTTCAGAAAATCCTACATTAGTTTCCAAATCAATGTAGGAAAAGGCTGCTGGAAAAAAGAGTTAACTCTCAAAATTATTCCCCTGTAAATACATAATACTTTCACAGAATTTTAGCTACAGATGCAAATTTGTGACCTTATGTATGTATGACATCACAAATTGTATAATTATGTACACATACATGTATATACATACTGATCTTCTAGAGTTACTTCCCTTATTTCACTCTTCATCACTTAATGATATAATATAGAACATGGCTTTTACTTCTGTGTGGTTGTGCAATATTCAAATATGTCACATTTTCAAACATCCAAGGAGTATTCCAATATCTAAATTCTTATTTACTACAGAACAAACTGAAAGTTTGCAGATGAAGAAAATGATCACTGAAGAGTTATCTCCCTTCTATAAGTAAAAGCTAATTTTGCATACTGACAAAGCATTCCACTGATGACATATGTGATTGTTAAGATTTCCTTCTTGTCCATAAGAACACATTTCTCTTCTTTAACATCAGATATAAACATATGAATAGATATATCTTTTTTACTTATTCTCTGGAAGCATCAGTTTTTGCACTGATGCATGTTCCAAATTTCAATTAAGTACAAGCTATGTATGTTTTAAGAATGGACTTTTGATCTGTGATGTTTGTGAATAATTGTTCATTTACTCTCAAAATTAAATTTGAATTTTAAATTGACCTCTAAAGATATTACTTTACTGATGCATATAATTAATTAGTAATTAAGTAATCATCCTTACAGATATAGGGTGGGAGAACAAACTTCCTTTTTGTAGAACAGTGTAGTTGTTTAAAATGGTAGGAATCTTCTAGTCATTACCTAACACTGATTCCAGTTTACACATGTATAATCTTGTGTATTATAAAATTAGCTATAGAGATACCTATATATATATATATATAAATATATACAATGTCTGTATTATCATAGGTATTTATTGCTAATTTTTTTCCTACAATAGAATACATGTCCCTTCAGTCCCAATCAAGAGTAAATGCACCTTCAATTTGAGGTCAACCGATTCAGTCAGCCAGCAGAAATAAGAAAGTAATTTTTAAAAAAGATAAATATTTGATGAATTTAGTGCTTTCCATGTCAAAAATATTTTTCTTGGATGTGATTGGGCTACTTAACAGTTTCGATATTTGCAATTGTTGCGGATACACAAATTTATTATTATAGTATGTTGTTAAAAATTGATAATGTGCTGAAGTTTGATCGTGCAAAAATGATTAATGTTCATTTTAAGTGATAAAGATACCTCAAATAGTTTATTTTTAATATAACAGTAAAGTAAGACATACTGTAGGGAAGGATTTACATGTTTATTAATAAGGGGAAAATAAAGCCAATCAGTTGTTTCAGATTTGGGTTCACACAAAATTCTGATACAAAACAAAATGAATGCCACTATTCAACACACCTCTGTTGTTGGAAAAAAATTACAACGATGCCATGCTGAAATATTTATTTTCTGGCATGGTATAAATAAGTTATCATCCTTGAATATCGAGGTCTTGCTCAATTTCTTCCTCTCTGATCTCCTCTTCAACCTCTTCTTCGAAATGTTCTATTTCTACTTCCTCCCGAGGTGGCTCCTGCGTCGGTGGTAAGTCGTCAACATTTGCGAAGAGTTCACGTTCTATCTTTACGGCAAGTGTAGGTTTTACCTTGATTTCCGTTTTCCTTAAGGAGTAGTTGTAAAGCCACTTCCAGTGAAACCATATAATTCCCTTGATAATTCCATCAGGAGATATGGTCTTGTTTCCATCACGAATATAAAGGCCATTTAGAGAAGAATAGCCACAGTTCTTATACCACCATCCAGCACCATCTTTTGCGGCACAATTAAGGAACCATTTGTCGTTATCTCTGTCCTCTGTGGTGAATTTCATGTCGTTATGATAATTTAGAGAATCCCCTGCTGTGCCACGATAATTGCCGATGTTGAGCTGAAAACCGTTCTGTTCAGAAGAAACAAAAAATATGCCATATTCAGCAAATGCGTGATCATTGTCCCAGCCATACATATCGATTCTCATTGTGTAATTGTAGTAAGTTGTCATCTGATACAAGTTTTCGTTTCCTATCCAGTACTCACTGTTAGCGTTACCAAAGCCAAATGTATAGTCATCCCACAACCGGGTGAAGTTAATGCTACCGTCCATGCGTCGCTGGATGACTGTCCAACCGCCATTGTCTGTTTCCATGTCACACCACACATTCAGGATACGGCCCAGTGGCATTTTGATTGAGTACACTCCACTTCTTGTAATACCATTCATCAACAGTTCATGACAATCTGAAAATAGGCCATTATGTTACTTAGGTTACAAAAGTTTCAAAACTAAGATCAAAGTGAAAGGGTCAAAGGTTACAGTTTACATTGATCTTGATAGTGAATTTCAAATAACACGTAAGATAATTTGTAAGCATTAATGTAATGTATATGGTGAATATGAAAATCAAGTTATTTATTAGATTTATTATTTCAGGATAAAATTTTCAATACCAGATACTTGCAGTGTCTCTGCCCTCTATTACATTTAAGACAATTTCAGACAGAAATGTGAAAGGCCTACCTCGGATAAGTGGTACACCCTTCAGTGCTGGTGAAAATTTCAGGGGTTTTTCTCTTTCATCATCCTTTGCCTTCCTGAGTTTTGAAATCTTTTTACTTAGCTTGTCTATTCTCCTGTAAAACAAAAATGATTTCAATAATTCTAAAAACTTGGCTGTGTTCGGTCTTGTTTAGTGATGAATAAATTACAGTTTAATATCTTTTTCAAAAATCAATGAATTGTTTGAGGAGCAGCCAGATGCAATGCATTACAGTTCTAATGAGGAAATAGGTAGAAGATTAAAACTGTGATTTTGAATCTCTTCTTCTGAAACAATGCTGACAATTTATACTTTACCTTACAAGGTCATTGAGAAGACTCTCTCGTGAGTTTTTATCCGCCTCAAAGTCACGCTGTAATTTCTCAAGAATCATACATTGGTGTTCATTTTGTAGCTCCCTAGTGAGGGCGCGATAGTCCAAAGACTGACAAATGCTGACTTCATCTTGTGCTGTCACCACACTTAGTATACAGGCCCATGCCAGTAGTACCACCGTAGCTCCCATGGCACTGAAACACAAGTTTTATTTAAAACGAAATATTGCATTTAATGTGGAAATTGATTATGATAGATAGCATGACATTTATTGCAGATGCATTTACATGTAACTTTGCAATTAGAAATTTTAGCTCATTGTCACTTTTGTCACATTAATGAATTAGCACATTAATGAATTAGCACATTAATGAATTAGCAGATTAATGAATTAGCACATAATCCATCAAAGCTGTGTACTATATACCCTCTTAGTTAAACACTACAATCTATCACAGTTCTGAACTACAATATACCATAGTTCTGTACTGTTATCCACCACAATTCTGTTCTATAATTCATTGTAGTTCTGTACTATAATCCACCACAATTCTGTTCTATAATTCATTGTAGTTCTGTTCTATAATCATCATAGTCCTGTCCTATAATCCATCACAATCCTGTTCTATAATCCATCACAGTTCTGTACTATAATCCATTATAGTTCTGTTCTAAAATCAATCGTAGTTCTGTTCTATAATTCAGCATAGTTCTACACTATAATCCATCATAGTTCTGTACTATAATCCATCATAGTTCTGTACTATAATCCATCACAGTTCTGTTTTATAATCCATCATCTTTTTGTAGTATAATCCACCACAGATCTGTTCCACAATCTACCACAGATCTGCACTTGAATCCATTGTATTTCAGAACTATAATCCATCACAGTTCAGTACTTTACTCCATCATAGTTCAGTACTTTAATCCACCATAGTTTTGTATTATAATCCATCATAGTTTTGTATTATAATCCATCATAGTTCAGTACTTTAATCCACCATAGTTTTGTATTATAATCCATCATAGTTTTGTATTATAATCCACCATAGTTTTGTATTATAATCCATCATAGTTTTGTATTATAATCCACCATAGTTTTGTATTATAATCCATCATAGTTTTGTATTATAATCCACCATAGTTTTGTATTATAATCCATCATAGTTTTGTATTATAATCCATCATAGTTTTGTATTATAATCCACCATAGTTTTGTATTATAATCCATCATAGTTTTGTATTATAATCCACCATAGTTTTGTATTATAATCCACCATAGTTTTGTATTATAATCCATCATAGTTTTGTATTATAATCCATCATAGTTTTGTATTATAATCCATCATAGTTTTGTATTATAATCCATCATAGTTTTGTATTATAATCCATCATAGTTCTGTACTATAATGCATCTTACCTAATTCATCATAAGCTCGTTTGATACTCCATCACAGTTCTGGTAACTAATTGCCATCTTCATTTATACAGATTTGATAAAAGCCAGTTAATATCTGTTGAAGGATACAATCCCTTTCAACCTCTTTTGACATGTTTGGCTTAGGAATATTTTTTCATGATATTTGATACGCCAGTCAGGGATGGATTGGGTTATCACTGGACAATAAGCCCAGCAGGCCAACACAGAAGCCCAGAGAGCCAACATAGAACTTCTCTCACCAGTCAGGGAAGGATTGGGTTATCACTTGACTATAAGCACAGCAGACAACACAGAACCTCATTCACCAGCCAGGGAAGGATTGGGTTGTCACTTGACAATAAGCACAGCAGACAACACAGAACCTCATTCACCAGCCAGGGAAGGATTGGGTTGTCACTTGACAATAAGCACAGCAGACCAACACAGAACCTCATTCACCAGCCAGGGAAGGATTGGGTTGTCACTGGACAATAAGCACAGCAGACAACACAGAACCTCATTCACCAGTCAGGGAAGGATTGGGTTGTCACTTGACAATAAGCACAGCAGACAACACAGAACCTCATTCACCAGTCAGGGAAGGATTGGGTTATCACTGGACAATATGCACAGCAGACAACACAGAACCTCATTCACCAGTCAGGGATGGATTGGGTTGTCACTTGACAATAAGCACAGCAGACCAACACAGAACCTTGTTCACCAGCCAGGGAAGGATTGGGTTATCACTGGACAATAAGCCCAACAGGCCAACACAGAACCTCGTTCACCAGTCAGGGAAGGATTGGGTTATCACTGGACAATAAGCCCAGCAGGCCAACACAGAACCTCATTCACCAGTCAGGGAAGGATTGGGTTGTCACTTGACAATAAGCACAGCAGACAACACAGAATCTCATTCACCAGCCAGGGAAGGATTGGATTGTCACTGGACAATAAGCCCAGCAAGCCAACACAGAACCTCATTCAACAGTCAGGGAAGGATTTGGTTATCACTGAACAATAAGGACAGCAGGCCAACACAGAAGCCCAGACAGCCAATACAGAACCTCGACTTAAAGTTACAAACTGTTTTTTACTTTATACAATACAATGAAAAATCATTTGTTGGAAATTCAATGAAACAGTAATAAAATAGATGAGCTTATTTCCAGACATGGGCATATAATTGAATAAATATGGTAGCTAAATAAAAAGATTTCTTCCTCTAGAACATATTCTAATAAAGACTTTCAAGTTGGACTTGGTTTGTATATAATATCTCACAAGGTTGCAGAAGATTCCTTGTGGGAAAAAAATGTGTATTCAAAAATAACGATTAAGTAAACCAAAGTGATTCAGCACAGGTATTGTAACATTCACAGACTCTTACCTTGTTTTGGAATGTATAAGAAAGTTACACATCTTGGTGTAGATCCCAGTCCATTGTCACAGCGACATATTCAAACATTGTTCACAGAATCAAATTAGATGAAAGCCTAGTACATTCTCCGGGGTTCAAACAAGGGCTGCTTAATTTGTCGTATGTACTTTTTTGCATCAATGCATCATTCTTCTGACTTGTTGATTTGTAAACTTTTGATGAAAATCATTTGATCTGTGGGGTTTGACTTGCCACCAGTTGCTTCCCTTGCTAATAAACACAATTGCGTAACTGCATATAAGCATAGTTTGAAAGTTTTCCCCCAGATGGGCCCCCAGTGAAATGTTTTTTTAGGTTTCCGATGAAATTCTATATCCATTTTGACCACTAATGCAGCACCAATGCCGCAGGGCCAATTAATGATTTTATTAGATAAACATGTGTTTTAGATATACAGGCTCTGTTTCAGCCTTGGAATGCTTTCTTTATCGTCAGCTGTCAGTGTTTTGGATTTAGCTTGCCATATTATGAGTCTTGTAGAGGCAGCTGATGTTGATACATGATACACATTCAACTTTTTGCCTTTTTTTTTCATTCCTCCATACTTGAATAATGTAAACAGTAAACAAGTTGCAATCAAACCCTCTCTTCAAGCTTAACAAATGAATCTGAAAAAAATTGTTTTGAAATAATTTTTTGTGAAACCATCTTTAAATAAAGTTTTCTTTTAGAAAAAGTAATAAAGTTGAATAGGAAATGAAGGATGTTTCCACCAAATTGAAGAAAAAAGGGTAAAATTTGGCTAGTAATAATCACAAGGTTATCCAATTCAAACTAACCATGCTTCTGTCTGACTTGATGATTGCAAAATAGTTACTTGTCGTTAGGTCTTTGGTAAAGTAAGATGAAAGTCCAGAGCTCTTTCAAATGTGGAAGAGTATTGGACGGGTTCATGTTTTTAGGTCGTTAATGAAAATTATCACATGAATCACTTCAAAAAAAAAAGAAAAAGTTGATGAAATTCTTGAATCCTAAGTACAGGTTTAATTTGTTAAAACTGTTCAGTATCTTTTTGAGTTTTATCATTTACTTTAAAGAAAGATTTTATCCTAAATTGTTATATTATTACTAAAAAAAAGAATTCTTATTAGAAAAACAGGAAAATGGGTTGCACCTTGTCCCTTGTCTGACCATCTGTAAGCTGTCCTCATTTTCTTGAGGGGTTGATAAAAAAATACAAATGGCTAACAGGTGCCCATCTTGGATTTTGCAATTAAAGATTATCATTGTAAGTAATCTTGGAACATATTGATAGATCAATTTCAGGATCATGTATTTGATTTTAATATTGGAAAAAAAAAGGAAATATTCATGTAAAAATGGTAAAGGTACAGATAAGAATGGTACAGGTAAAAATGATACAGGTGAGAATGATACAGGTGAGAACAATACAGGTAAGAACAGTACAGGTAAGAACGATACAGGTAAGAATGGTACAGGTAAGACTAATACAGGTAAGAATGGTACAGGTAAGAATGGTACAGGTTAGAATGATACAGGTAAGAATGGTACAGGTAAAAATGATACAGGTAAAATGAATACAGGTAAGAACTATACAGGTTAGAATGATACAGGTAAGAATGATACAGGTAAGAATGATACAGGTTAGAATGATACAGGTAAGAACTATACAGGTTAGAACGATACAGGTAAGAATGATACAGGTAAAAATGATACAGGTAAGAATGATACAGGTAAGAATGATATTGGTTGGAATGGAAAAGATCCAACCAATAAAGATCATATGAAGATGGAATGTATGTGATATGCCTGATCAACACACATTCATTTTAGCACAACTCATATCTATATCTATAAAAAAAATTCTAATTTATTCGACAAACATTTAACACTGAAGTACATGCTAGCACATTTGTACCCTGTCCTTGACAGTTTCAGGGCACCAGAGACCTGGGATATCATTATCAAACTGGCACTTGAATTAAATGTTAAGTGTTTAAATGTTGGAATTGATTTAATTAAGCTTAAGATAATTAGTTTAGCTGCCAGCTGCAACATATCAGAGTTTATGAGGAGGCTTGTGTTACCTAGAGTACAAATGATAAATTTTATCACAGGTTTCCAGAATTGGACATGATGTGTAAAGAAGCATCGCAGTCTACTCCATTAAATGGTTTAGGTGATGTAAAAGTTGTTGTGTCTTACTGAATAACCTACATCACAGCAACCTCTAAACTAAATTTATATGTTACAGGGTAAAGGAAATATGGAGACCTACTGGTTGATTGAAGAAAATCAGGATTAAGAAACACCACAACAGTGACCAGTGTCCAGTGACATATTACGACAGTGACCAGTGTCCAGTGTTCAGTGACATATTACGACAGTGACCAGTGTCCAGTTACATGTTACAACAGTGATAAGTGTCCAGTGACATGTTACAACAGTAACCAGTTACATGTTACAACAGTGACCAGTGTTCAGTGACATATTACAACAGTGACCAGTGTCATGTTACAACAGTGACCAGTGTCCAGTTACATGTTACAAAAGTGACCAGTGTCCAGTGACATGTTACAACAGTGACCAGTGTCCAGTGACATGTTACAACAGTGACCAGTGTCCAGTTACATGTTACAACAGTGACCGGTATCCAGTGACATGTTACAATAGTGACCAGTGTCCAGTGACATGTTACAACAGTGACCAGTAATGGTGACATACTACAACACTGACCAGTGTCCAGTGATGGTCACATGTAACAACAGTGACATTTGAGGTCACAGGAGTAAAATTTACAGAAATATTCATAGTTGCGATGTTAACTGTTAGGGACATTATCAGCTTACAAGTGACAAGAGTCCAGTTAACACATCTAAAGGGTCAATTTTGTAGGGGACAACAGTCAACAGGAGACAAGAGTAAAATGTTTGTAGGTCACCAAAGTAAATTTTGTAGGTCTCAAGATTTAGCTTTGTAATTCACAAGAGTCAGTTTGGAAGGTCAGAAGAGTCAGTTTCCTAGAGTTAATTTGGTAGTCACAAGTGTCAAATTTGTAGGTCAAAAAAGTCTGCTGCAATGGTCAGAAGAGTCAATTTCCTAGGATGGATGAGTCAACTTTTTACATCACAAGAGTGTGCTTGATAGGTCTCAAAGAGTCAACTTCATAGGTCTCAAGTGTCAACTTTGTAGGTCACAAAAGTCTGCTACCAAGGTCAGAAGAGTCAATTTCCTAGGATGGGTGAGTCAAGTTTGTACATCACCTTGTGACTCCTGTTTTGAATTAGATGATGTGACTTCAGTAGTGTAACCTGTGACAATATTTCAGATTCTTTAATGATGTAACTAGCTTGTTTTACTTCTTCTTCGTAAGAATTTAAACAGCTAAAACTACAAATGATTACTGTTATAGAGCACAAATAGAAGTAGTACACAACTATTGTATATTATATGCGATATCAAATTAGTTAGAATATATTGAGTCCTAATGAAGTAGATGTTCATTTTTAGCCCACCATCTATTCAAATCGCCCTCCGTCCGTGGTCTGTAAACAATTCTTGTTACCGCTATTTCTGGAAAAGTAGTGGATGGATATTTCTTAAAATTCATATGCAAGTTCCCCTTGGTCCCTAGTTGTGCATTGTACCTTTTTTGGACTGATTCGAATTCAAGATGGCCGACAGGCGGCCATCTTGGAGTTTGAAAGCAAAAGATTGTTATCGCTATTTCTGAGAAAGTACTTGATGGATCTTTCTCAAATTTCATATGCAGTTTCCCCTTGGTCCCTAGTTGTGCATTGTATCTTTTTTGGACTGATTCGAATTCACTGTCGGCCATCTTTTATTTTGAAAGTAAAATCTTGTTACCGCTATTTCTTAGGAAGTACTGGATGGATCCTTCTGATATTTCATAGGTATTGGTTTCCCTTGGTCCCTAGTTGTGCATTGTACCTTTTTTGGGCTGATTTAAAATCAAGGTGGCCCACAGGCAGCCATCTTCGATGTCAACACTAATACAGCACAAGCATATTTTCTTTGATATTCTATCATATTGATTCAAGACCATGTCCATTATCCACCTGTAACTGACTGCTATCTAATAATACTTTGATCTTTTTCAAATGTTATTTGCTAATAGGTGCTTAATATAAATATCTTGTGCCATCATTGAGTACATTCAATGAAGACCAGTTCATGAACATTTACAACACAACACCTGCAACAAAAAAAAATAAATAAACAAATCTTCAAGAACTGAAAACAGATCCTCAAATGGTGGGCGCCAAGATCCCAATGGGATCTCTTGTTTGATACATATATCCCCTTGTTTCTCTGTTCCCTTCATTGACCGACCTTGGTCTATATATAATTTGTCTAAATGATAGTGAAAATTTTAATGATGCCATATACCTTTCTAAAAACATGTAATAAATGTTTACTGGATGTTGATCGAGCTCTCCAAAAATGTATTATAAACAGATCAGAATAGATTCATTTAAACCTAGACTTAAATAATTTACATATCCCTTATGATCAACCAGAATAGATCTCTATTTAACAAGACTATAACTGATCCTCATGTCCCTGTTATACAGACCAGAATAGATCTGTATTTAACTAGTCTATAACTGCTTCTCATGTCCCTGTGATACAGACAAGATTAGAACTATATTTAACTAGACTATAACTGATTCTCAGGTCCCTGTGATACAGGCCAGAATAGATCTCTACTTAACTAGACTACAACTGATAACATGTTGGGTTTATAGTTCCAAATACATAACATATTTAATGTAGTGTATATAAGGTCGTCTAATTTATGATTTTTTCTAGGTCACCTAGGACAAAGTCTCATGGTGACTTATTGCAGTACCTTTTTGTCTGGCATTGTGACGTCGGTAAACTTTTTACATTTTTGGCTTCTTCTGGAAGACCTAAAAACTGATTTCAATGAAACTTTGCAAAAACCATCCATGACCAAACATTAACCAAAATTGTAGTAAATTACAGTCCCCAGGGACCTGATGGGTGTAGTCATATTGACTAAAATTAAAAAAAAAAAATCTTCTCAATACCAAATATGGTAGAGTCAAATACTCGTCATGGATGGAAGGGTCTTAAGGTAACATTTCTTATTTTCTCTTTTCTATACTACACAATTCATTCCAAGTGTTTCAGTTTCGAGTTCACTCGGGTGACTGATTAGGCCTCTCAATCTCTTGTTTAGTTACTCATTTCTTCTTGCTGGGAATGAAATATTGTTTCGGTAATGAGGAACATGGAGTATGCAATTATGGATTTAGATATATAAGTCTAGATGCCAATATTAGCATACTTATTGATGAACACATATTTATAGAGTTTTGATTAAGTCTTGTACTTAGAAAAGATGATCGTTTAGATCAATATTAATTAATCCTTGGAAAAACAAAACAGATTATACATTTTAAATGTGAGAAAACTATAGATAATCACATTTCCGAAAACCAATTTGTTCATGACACAAGCAGTGGAGATTCTCTTACTGGTTATATTATAAGAATTGATCTTCTGTTGAGGCATTACCAACCTAAAGAAAGTATTCTAAAATATGCATTTTGGAGTAATGGTGGGTATGCATTTACTGACATGTTAGAAAGCAATATATAACTAACTTGGAGGGTGAACTGACCAAGAATACTTTTTTTTTAAACATAGAAGTATGATCTTATGTTGGTAAGATTGTAGGAAGTTAATTAAAAAAAAAAAAACAGAAACTGGGATTTCTGAGATGTCCACTATTCAAAAGGTGTTGATTAGAAAGCACAAACTTGATAATGGATTTTTTCAAGATTAGGCAATTGATTGCATGGTGCATGTGTTTGGTTGTATGCATGTTAAAGAAAGATATATTAAATAAAATCAGACAATACGTTGTGTTATGCAATTTTTGTGAGTAAAAAACAGAGTAATTTCACCTGTTTAGGCACCAGACGCTCTGAATAATTTAATTTATTTTGTTGTAAATTAGTGTACTATTACAATAGCAGCTTGGATTTAATGCCAATTGAAAGGTAAAGTGTACTTCAGCTCTTGATGGTACTATACTGGAGATATATGGATAGATATCTTAGATGACGGAGGTGAATCAAATAAAATGTCATGATTTCGAAAAAGCATTTGACAAGGTCCCACACTGTTGACTGGAAGGAAAACCAAGGAGTTAGGACACGCATAGTAAAGACATTAATTGTGTAGAAAACATTTCATGCCACCAAAGGAAATGCAGTGATTTCTAATGGAAATTCATCGCAAGATCTCCTCGAACTAATTAAATGGTATCCCTTATGGAAGAGTTCTTTGTCTAATTCTGTTTGTGAATTTACATAAATAGTTTGCCAGATTATACCCTATCAACTATATTCCTGTTTACAGATAGCACAAATATCAGCATAGATCAATCAAAGCTGATGAGGATAGGAAAACTTTTTTCAAAAAGGTTTGGATCATTTACAGAATGTCGTCATTTAAAATGTTAAGTATTAATAGGGACGTATACCTGCAAATTTGTATTGTATACATCCCTCATACTTAACTTTAAAATTTCCAGCAAGTACTGTATTTTAGCTCCTCTGCTCTATATTGGTATATGTGTACATGTGTATGTATGCTTTGATCCCTAATGTGGACTGAAATTTGTCAACAAAGTGATTAAATTGAATTGAATTACACGTTTGGTGCCGAAATAAAGCAAGACAATATGTATCATCTTAAAAAACATTAGATACGCTGTAATACTGGGACATTAGGCATTGGAATATTGGTGGAAACATTGAAAAATCTGTATACACTGGAATACTGGTGAATACTTTGGAATAATGGTGGATACATTGGAATATTGTTGGAAATATTGGAATACTTGTAGATGCATTGGAGTATTGTTGTAAATATTGGAATACTTGTAGATGCATTGGAATATTGTTGGAAATATTGGAATACTTGTAGATGCATTGGAATATTGTTGGAAATATTTGAATGTGTAATGTTGCGATGGATACATATGGATACTGGTGGATCTAGTGGAATATTGGTCAATCCACTGGAATACTTAATGATACACTGGAGTACTGGCAGATCCATAAGAATACTGTATGCTACATTGGAATACTGTACGCTACATTGGAATACTGTATGCTACATTGGAATACTGTATGCTACATTGGAATACTGGTGGATACATCAGAATAATGGTGGATACATTGGAATTTTGGTGGATATACTGAAATATTGGTGAATACTTGTAGATGCATTGTGATACTGGCAGAAACATTTAAATGTGTAACGTATCGGTGGATACATTGGAATATTGGTGGATACATTGGAATATTGGTGGATACATTGGAATAATGGTGGATACATTGGAATGTTGGTGGATACATTGGAATATTGGTGGATACATCAGAATAATGGTGGATGCATTGGAATGTTGGTGGATGCATTGGAATAATGGTGGATACAT